GCTGTAATGCTGCCTCCTCCGTTCAGAACGGGTAGCGACTCCATTGCTGATTGGTCGTTCCGTGGTCTCCGTAGCCGGTTGTGGTGCTGCTACGCCCTCGGCTTGCAGAGGGCGATGTGCAGGTTCTGATCGCCGACTTTGTAGTCTGCCTCAGTCTCCCAACAGCCTGCGCGGCCCTTGGTAACCCGGGCGACCACCGAACCGGTATGATTTTCGATGGTGTTAGTACCATGAGTGGCAGGTGGCTAAATTATACGGAGACTTGCCACGGTCTGCAACCCTTTTCCTTTGTCATCTGAGCTTTGAACCGGCAACGACGGAGTGGTGACTTGTTTGAGATAACTAATTTCAACCGGTAATTAAGTTTTTGAATCATGACCCACTACTCATGGTGAGCACGCGGATGGAAATCAACTCAGATACAGACAGTTTTGTCTCCATACTCAGCTCTGCCGTAGACACAGTGATTCACGGCAGTTAAAACGTTTATTCGGCTTTTCACTTTACTACGATGTTTTGGTATAACACAGACGGGAGGACAACGTCTTAAGTCACACGATACGATTATTAAATCGATCATCGACTTTTTTGCACATGCTTCCCTGTACCAGGTATACTGATGCACTGTTCGATGCTGAAATATTATTTTCAAAATTATATATATAACTTGTCAGGTATGTAATAACTGCAATCAGTTTTTTCTTTTAGTGGTCCATTGGTTTATACTGACAGTTAACAGATGTGGTGATCGTAAATGCTTAAGCGATGAAAATTATTTTATTCATTAACAAACTCTTAACATATAAGGGATCTTAGATTGAGAGACGGTTAGAAGCCTGGAATAATGTATTTACTAAGTGAACTGTTCGGAACCCACGATGTTGTTTCCTTTAAGCATTGCAGTGAACTAAGCTTCGAAGGTCTTTCATTTAGTTAAAATCTTATCATAGATGATTTTTTTTAATTTTTGGCTAATTTTCTTTTAGCTTTTCGCATGCTTATCTAATATTTCTTCGCTATTAGTAACTGCTAATCTTCTCTGTACATTTTTTATTTGTGCCGAAGAAGGAACACTGTTATGAAATTCCGAAAGCTTCCCTTGTTAATCTTTTTCCAACCTTCTCTCTCTTGACCTGTTATCATTACTGGATGATCAGGTTTTGTGCCTAATAGGTCAGCTTTGAATTCCTGAGGTGCTGGACTCGGATCTTTTTATAAGGTAGCCTTTTTTTCCTAATCGCCAATTCCATGGAGCAATGAATTAACTGTACCTTGCTTTGGCGCAACTAGCTAAGAAGGGGGTGGTAATTCGATGACTTAAAAATAACCCAGACAGCATGATATTCTGGTCAGGTCATGCCAGAATGGACGAGATGCTGAATCATGCTGTCCGATGTAAGCGCTCCTTACGGCAGAACATCACTTCATGGCTGACTATCCAGTGTTATAGTCAGCAAAAGGTGTAACCGTAACTTTTTCAGAGCCTGTTTATGTCTATGTCTTTTCAAGCTGAATATAAAGGATCTTTCACAGTTTTACCTTAGTTGTTGACCGGTTAAAATTGGATGACTCGTCGTCTATCACTTATGCTTATGAGTTGTTTTACAGTCTTTCATATTTGAAGGGACCGATCTGGTGCCGGATTACTTCCTGGACGACAACGGAAACGACATTAACAAACAGCAATCATCAGTAGGCAGCTTAAAAGACGTGATGCAAAGTTCCGACACTGCCTCTCGTAGCCAAGTTAATCTCATCGCTAGCATCTTTAACTCGCTGCAGACAATGTTGAACAAGACCGAGACGGACCTTGCAGGCAAAGTGTTTACCTTTAACGTCACCGGTAAATAGTCAAACTCCGTTGCCATTTGGAACGGTCAATTGTTGTTTTGTCAGATGTTACTCCGAACCAATGGTACGTCAATCTAAAATCGACCCCCGCCAAATGCGCTCAGGGATCTCTTAAAGATGCTACTCCAGACGTAGAGTTCATGATGGACAGTGACACATTGGTTTTGATCTTTAACGGCAAATTGAAACCATCTACAGCGTTTGTGACTGGAAAAATGAAGTTCACTGGAAACTTCGAGTCAGCCCTGCAGATGGAGAAGCTCGTCGAAATGTTGACTAACCCTTAATTACGCTTGTTATTAACCTTTGCCTTGTTTTTATATTTTAATTGATTCGTTACAAAAAAGCAGTGTTCATAACTCTTTTAAAGACTTAGCATTTTATGTTGATTTTTTTGTTTTTGACCATTGCTCAATTGTTTTTGCGAAAATTCAGTTTATAGCAGAGTCAGTGCTAAACGACCTTTTATGATTATATTTAAGTAAACTTTTGCTAGAAGTCCGGGGGGTATCTTGAATTACGTTCTATACGTCTGCTTGACTGGAAATAAGTTTTATTATACAAGCAAAATAGTTTGTTGAAACTGATGGCAAGAAACCGTATGATAAAAAACGTCATTGAAAAATTCGATGGAAAATGTTACGCAGAAGAAACGATCATCAATTATGTAGAATACAAAAGTTGCGAGATACTAATATTAAATTTCAGTTAAATTCGCCGCCAACGCATGAATCACAGAAGATATGGAAATATTGCCTTGCGGTTACGAGGGAAGTTTGGAAACTCTTTGAGGTACGCTCGCCGCTTACCAATTGCCCAAACAGTCATTTGATATCCGCCGGCCAAGGTGAATATAAGGGCTAAATTTTGATTATAATACGGTTAACGTTAAATAAATTTTGATATGGCATAAGTTACCTGGTAAACACTGTGTCATAACTGAAAATGACAACCAAGCAAGCACTTCGTACGTGTAGTTTGGACAGCAAACTAAACGAAACAATCCAGTGCACCAGTTCGAATTTGGTTCAGGGATTCTGCGTTCAGTTGAGCCTATGAAAACCAGCAGAAACAGTCACTTTTGGATGTCAGTTTAGTATGAGTCACAGTATTGATCACCTGGAGGTCTGAGGTCCCTCAGCAGCAGGTGCACGCTAAGATTTCCGTATTCAGCTAGGAGGAATCCGCTAAGCCCTAAAAATACTTGAGCCGCACCGAAGAATGGCGGGGTGTAT